CCATCCGGCCCGCTGGCCTTCCTTCGCGCCCCCGCCTCGCCGCCCCGTCCTCACACCCACCTTCCCCGAGGACGACTTTGCTTTCCTTCCCCTCCTCTCCCTCCTTCTTCTCTGCGGAGCCCCGCTTCAAAATGGCGATGATGGAAAGGCGGTCACGTGACCCGCGGGCCCGGTCAGGTGACGAGGAGTGAAAGTTCCGTCTGACTTTCTCTTCTCCCTCCCGCCCACCTGTTACCATAGAGACCGGAAGGCGCGAGGCGGGGTGGGGAGGGCGGGAGTCGCGCGGTCTCTCGGCCGGTCTGGCAGGGCTCGCTGAGTTCACACGACGCTCTGAACCTGCTTAGGGAGTGGACCCGTTTCCTTGTACCGTAAGCCATGCAGTAACCAGAAGCATTAAGACGGACCCAGGTTAAAGCTAACCGAGCCTGCCGTGTGGTGGGAGCCAGGTCTTCCTGCAGTCGAACCGGTTAGTTGGGTCGTGTGAATCCTGTCACTCTCCCCGCATCCATTGATTGCTGCACCTCAAAGGGCCACATATATGTGGCAACCCCTTCTTGGTTGTACTGTGCTAGTGATTTGGGTTGGTGGTTTCTCGGCTGCTGTGTATTTTAATTTTTGTAATTTTTGTAATTGTTTTTATTTTATTTTAATTCTATTCACTGCCCAGAGTCACTTTTTGAGATGGGTGGCCATATCAACTGAATAAATAAATAAATAAATACATAAATATATCCCTTTTTAAGCTATTGTGTGTGTGTGTAAATAAATAAAACTCAAGGTGGCTAACATACCTAATACTGTGGAGTCCTTGGTGCTCTCTGAGCTTGGTTGATTGTCTCCTTGCAAACGTTTCATTACCCAACTAGGTAACATCATCAGTGCAACCAGTGTGCTGCTTTCTAGACTGGGGCTACATGGTCCCATTTTAACAAGAAGGCAGCGCAGTGATGATGTTACCTAGTTGGGTTATGAAACGTCTGCAAGCAGACAACCAAGCTCAGAGAGCACCGAGGATTCCACAGTTCAACCCTGAGCTACAGATATTCTCTTCTGTTGGAAACACCTAATACTCCTGCCTCCTATGTTCCCCACAACAGCAACCTTGTGAGGTGGGCTGGGTTGAGAGAGAGGGACTGGCCCAAAATCATCCAGCCGGCCTTCGTGCCTAAGGCAGGCCTAGAACTCACAGTCTAGGTTTCTAGCCCAGCATCTTCACCATTCCTCCAAATAGGTTCTCAGTGGAGCTCTTCCTCAGGTGCTCCAGCAAAGCGCCAGTAGAGGGCAGGGCAGCGGTGATGGGCAGAAGGAGGTGCCAGCCAGCACCAAGGCTGTGCCATGACTATGGGTTTGCTTATTTTATCTATTTCCATCTATATGGCTGCCCATCTCAACCTCATGATTCTGGATGGTGAACAGCAATTAAAATATCCACCCTGTTTCATTTGGGACATGTGTGTATATATTGTGTTCAATTACCATAGGTTCTCCCTTTGCCCCACCTGCCTTTCCTGGCTTCCAGTACCACATGTGTGAGAAAGAGGGTCTAAGGTCACCTCACATGCTGGCTCCTAAGAACCCAAACAAACTTGGTTTGAATTACTGCAGTACACCCTACATGGGGCTATCCTTGACAATGGCCTGGGGGCAGAATGCAGCTGCCTTCTTGTTAAAGTGGATCCTGTGGATCCTTCCCCAGTCTGGGAAGCAGCGCACTGTGAGTTATATAAATAAATAAAGATCACGGACCATGAGCCCAACTGAAGATGTTGACCTGTGTTTACAAAACTTTAAGCAGCTTATTTATCTATTTGAGTTATATCCTGTTTTAAGCTCAGATGCCCAAGGAGGCATTCCTAGCACTTCCCTCTTCCATTGTTCCCCACAACAATGGCCCCAATATCCAAGTTGTGCATTTCAGCGTACCCTTCATTGAAACTGATTTGCACAATAAATGCTAGATAAACATTAAGGTGTGTAGCTAGGCTGTTTATAAAAATGGATAGAACAAATAAAATATCACAAGGAGCTCCACAGCGAAGCTGCTGCTCTGTCACCATCTTAGCTCTGCCTTGATTTGCACAATATGCTTAACTCACTGGCTGGATCAACTTGTTTGAAGGGATTGAACAATATATCTGAAGTATGAACTGACTAGATGGAGCTGGGTTTGTAAAATCCATTAAGCCACCCAGACATGCACAAAATGAACATTAACCAAGTTTGAGCTAACTTGACTGCATGTGTTACCTGAACACAGCCTGATTGTAACCTAGTTACTGATGTGGCTGGAACACTAGTGGCTTTTCTCTCTGCCCCCCAGCTTTTTCCCTTCATCTTATCTGATGAAGAATTCTTAGAAACCCCAAAGCTTGTAATTATTTGACAAACCTTCAGCTTAACTACTAAAGGGAAGGCCTTTTAACCCCCCTCGCCCCATAATCAATATAGCGACAGTTTTCACTTTTTATACTGAGCTACAGTTGCTGATAGAAATTCTGAGCAGGAGATTCATTTATGTAACACCAACAATAACATGAGCTTAATAAACAGCAATATTACCCTAACTGCTTGTTAAGTATATTTTGAAGGTATTAAAAAGAGTAGATGATGTAATTATTTTTTAAAATGCTGTTACTGATGTTTTAATTTTAATTTTTTTTGAAAGAATAGGCTCTTATGAACATGCTCATAAATCTTTCCATAAGCTCTCAAATGCATTTAAGTCAGTTGAAATGGTTGACCTCAGTGTGGTTAAGTCTTCTACTTATTCTTTGTAGCCCAGGTTCAAAATATTTTTCAATGATTAAAAAGAATGGGGTGTCTTAATGTTATTAATGGGATAAGTAGTGGTGAATTCCTCAAGAAGCATAAAGGGGGTGGTATGTTTTATGTAGGGTTTGGGTTGTAAATTTTCCCAGCCCTCGCATTTTCTGCAGTGGGAACGTGAGTGCATTGGAACCCCTTCAGCCTTTTAATCACAGGCTCTTTATTATAAATTGAACATCTAATTGGCATCCCAACAATCATAAATTTGTTTCATGGCATATTACATCGCGTGCTGCAGTGCAATGGCCATAATTGAGTTCATGGTATTACGATGTTCGAACCACTTCCAGAGCCATGCTGTACCCAGTAGTTAGAGGATCAGGTCCATCAGGCAAAGGCTAAAGGCCGTGCATGCAACTGAACTGGTGTAATGCCTTCTTCCCTTGCACTGATTGGACTCAAGGTGACGTTTGAGGATCACTCAGCTTTAATTCTGGGATTTCTGATGTTCATTGGCAGTACTGTGACAATGTTCTTTTTTTTTTTGCAGTTCTTCTCCACCTTTCTTTTCAATTGAACAGAAAAGATCCTTTAGAAAAGAACACAAATTACAAGTGGTACCTTGGTACACGAACTTAATTCGTTCCACGATTCTGGTCGTGAACCGAATGGGTCGTGAACCGAATCAAATTTCCCCATAAGGTTCAATGTAAATAAGGTTAATCTGTTCTGAACCATATGTATTTTTTTTTAAACCACAAAAATTTGAAAAAAAGTCCAGTAAGGTACATTTGGAAGAGAGGGAACCCTACCTTTGTTTGGGGAGACCCCAAAAGACT